GCAGGAGCAGCCCCCCCCCGACAGAAATGCAACCCCAGCTACAATCCAGGAGGAAAAGAGACTCTTTTAGGATCAGATCTGTGAACACATTGGAAAGGAAAGAAAAAGGACCTTGTGTCTGGTGAGAAAAAGAAAACAATCTTTGGAAGAGAGGACCATGAGAATTTTAATAAAACAGAAGGAGACTAATGGACCTTCCAGGATTTATTGTGGACGGATGTGGATATATTCTGTACAGAAAACAACACATGGAAGTGGACTGGATCCTATGTAGAAACACACACACACACACACACACACACCCCAAACATTGTTATTCATTTTGTAAGATACTAGTCTTTATTTTCATTTTTTGTAAAATTTAAACATCGTATGCACATAAAAAAGGAAACAAGAATTAGGGGAAAATAACATTTTCCAAATAATTATAAAAAATTGTCCTGTGTCTATGTATCTATATCTGTTTTGTATTTTTTTCTGGTTCCAAACCAGATTTCCTGTGATTCTATACTAATAATTTTTGATATAACCCTTTGCTTCTTATAATGAGTGCGATATATGTTGTCGAGGCTGTTCTTCAAGAATTAAAATTGAAGTGAAAATTTAAACAAAAATAAAAGAATTTAGCAAAACCCATGTGTCTGGTTGTTTGACAGGTGTCATCAGTGCAAAAGAACACTCCAATTAATCTCCACTCCAATTCTTATTAGAATGGGGGGTTAAAAGGGGAGGACTTTTAAGGTCCATTACCAGGTTGGCTAGGTTTATTTCCTAAACCAAGTCGTTGCTTGGTTTTGTAAATTCGGAGAGCCAGGCTCTGTGTGGGCCACGGTGATCAGGGAGGACAGGGAGCCTTGGCTGCAAGCAGCATCCGATGAGACCTTACGGGTGGTGGTGGTGGGCAGCTAGAGGCCCTGCACGCAGCGGGCTCTCAGGCTGGGCAGACCTGGTCATACAGGCTGGCCAGTTTCGGGGCACCACTTGCTTCTGTGACTGCAGGTGGGAACTTGCCTGGCTGTCGGGGTGCGGAGCACTGGAAGCGGAGGGTCAAGGGAGGGAAAGGGCCGCTCAGACACCTCTGCACCTCATGCCTGTGACTGGAGGGTTTGGCCTCTCCTTAGCTCTGGGAAAGGGTTGGGGCCTCAGAGCTGCGAGCCCTGGCTTTGCTCCCCCTATAGTCCGCTGAAGAGGTGGCTGTGGTTTGCCCTTTTCCATACCCTGTGACAGGGGTTTGCCCTCCAGCTCCGTTGGGTGGGTGGAAGGGCCTTGCTGTGGCCCTTACGGGTGTGGACCTGGAACCTGGGAGTGGGGGAGCTAGGCTGGAGCAGATTCTTTTCAGAAGGGGTGTTTGGGCTGTAGTGGCCCCGTCATGGCAGAAACCTCCCTCCAGGCCTCTCCTTGGGTGTGCTTGGAGGGGGCGGGGGCATTGCTGCTCTCTCTAACAGCTTTCAGAGCAGGAATGTTTTATAGGATCACAGTCGGCACTGCGAGAACACATACTGCCAAGGGAGCTTTTTCTTACCGTATTAATAAAGCCAGATCTTTTAAAATAACACCTCTCACCTCCTCCCCCTCCCCTAGCCCCAAACAGGCCCGTTTGAGGCAAGAGCTTCACTTTCAGAAGTAATTGGCAAAGTTTTGCTTTCAATTTGCTGTCTAGAAGTCTCCAGGTCCCCACCCCACTCCTTTAAAAATGAATTAACAAGCTCCTACACTCCAACCAGCTTGAAGTTTTGATATTTTGGATGCAGCACAGTTCAGGCAAAACCATGGTCTCTGGGGAGAAGCCCTAGCCAGCCTGTGGGGAGATAGGCCTGAGCCCTAGGGCTGCTGAGCGGGTAGGGTGTGTGGGGTATGGAGTCCCTAAGGCTCCAGGGCCCCCCTGCCCTCCAAGGGGTCCCACTCCGAAATGTCCCTCATCCCTTGCACCACACCTAGGAGCAATGTCTTTGTGCCTAGGGTGACTGCCCTGCAGGTTGGGCACTGAAGGCAGCTGGGTGGTAGGAGAACTCATATTTGATGACTGATGGCCTCCCAGGAAGTCTTCCCAGGATGATGGTGGGTGGGTGGGCATTGGGGTGGGGTAAGCTGCAGACAGGGTGCAGAGGGGGAGGGGAACCGAGGTGTTGCCCAGAGCTCACCGATCTTTCCTGCTTTTTTCCAAATGAGATGTAAATATATTCATTACAGTGTGATCCCTCTGATGAAAACAGATAAACATTTTTGTAGGTCGGAAAAGTATTTTTCAATTAACTTCAATATGGAGGCCCAAGCACAAGGCACCCAGTGTGGGGACTGGCCTGGGAACCGAGGTCTAGATTGTAGGACGCACTTGCCCGGGGCGGAGGTATCAGAACTAACTTGGCTGGGCCATGGGCCCGGAGTGTTGCCCACCGCCCACTGCCTAGGGAATCCCGGGACCTTTCTAAGCCTGGGCCCGAGCCCTGGGAGGGCCTAGCACAGGAACAGGAGCAGCGCATCCTGTCGCCTCCCAGAGCTCCCCACATGCTCAGGCTGCGAACCAGGAGGCCGGGGCCGAGCGGAAGGGCGGAGGAAGGGGTGCTCTGCTCCCGGGCTCCCTGGGTTCTTGGGGCCGCCCGCGTTGGGGTTCTCCTGGGCTGGCTCCGTGCTGGCTGGGGGGCCCTCTGCACTGCCCTCGGGGAGACGGTTGTCTCCAGAGGTCTCTGCGTCTGGGGCACTCAGGGCCTCGTGGGCGCCCCGGCCCCGCCGTACCGGCCGCTGCCTCGGGAGGCTTTCCACTGCGTCGGGCCCCAGGACTGTGCCCGCATTAAGGGAAGGTTTAGGAGCAGAGATCGAGGCATCAAAGCCGCGGGATACGTCTTCCAACAACCAGGAATCATCCTTGGGGCTCTGGCGATCTACAGGCTGCCCGGCAGGACTGACTGGCTAACGGGCCGCGCCCGGACCTCCTCAGCGCCTAGGAGCAGCTCCCTCGTGGCCCGGCCGCCCCCACTCAGGGCTCTGTGCCTCCTCGGAGCCTGGAAGCCACTGGGCAGAAGGCGCCGTGGAGCAGGTGGGGGGCTCTGCCTGGGTGGCCGCCTTCGAGCCCGGCGCCAGGGGGAGCCGTGGAACCCGGTGCGAGCGCGCAGGCAGGTGGAGGCCAGACGGTTCCGGGGGCGCAGCCCGCCTCGGCCTGCCTGGCGGCCCGGCCCGGGCAGGGGAGAGGGGGGCTGGGTTAACCGGGCGGGGGAGAACCCACGGGTCCCCCAGGCCCGAGGAAACGCATCTGAACCGTGAGAGAGCGGCCCACACAGGACGGCTTCCCTCTCCAAATTACCTGTGACATATGAAAGTCAAACGTTCCCTTTCCCAACCGAAACACTTGCTGAGCCACCAGAACTTTAAGAGCTTTGAAGTCGGTTTAAACTACGTTGGCCACAAGCTTTGCTTAAAACATCAAAAAGGCCATCTCGGGACAGGCTCTCCTCCGGGAATCTCTAAGGAGCGAGGCCGCGCCTCCTACTCCGCCCCGGCACAAGAACTGGCCCACAGGAGTTAAAATATGACCTCTGGCCCCCGACACACAAACCCCAACTTGCTACCGGGCCTGGAGGAAGCCGGGGGGCTGGGGATGGGTCCCGGGGGCGGGGGCGGG